TAAGCCTTGCGATATAGCCACAACTGATTTCAAACCCTAGAAAGAATTTGGCTCAGAAAGACACATCAAGAAATGTGATTGCCAACCTGAGTATCACCTGGAAAAGCTGTTACTGTTTATTACAATATCTTTGGGGTTTTTTATCAGCATAGACTGTTGTATAAGATACATCAGTAACAATAAGCTTTTGTTAACATACACTGCATTTATACTAGAAAGATTTTGCCACATATCTGATACATCCATCCTGGGAAAATGGTCTTGCATATAAATTTTCATTCTAATGTATATAGCTTTTCATCCATTATGATCTTGGGTTTTTACTGTACTTTGTCTTGTAATATCTTGAGAAACTATAGCCATTTCATGGGAGTTGCTTTACCAAGTATTAACGTACCAGGGAACTATTTATTTAGGCAGTTCCTGAAGGTAAAACAAAACCTTTTGGCATCAAAAGCTTATCTTTACCTTGCATCGCTGTCATGACTGCTCAAAAAGCCAGCCTTAGCACACATGGGGCTGATTTACCAAGCCTGCTGTACTCTCTGCACAAGAGAGACATTTGCATACATAGATGAGCTTGTGCATGTTCACAGCAGGTTCAAGATGTCTAGTATGTGATTTTTTTTCTCTCCTTCACTTTAGGCCTTCCTTTAGACTGAAAGTCCAGGAACTGTAATCCCATTCCTGAACACATGCCTTCCTTACAGCCACACCTTCCCCATAACCTGCCTTATCTACATCATTTGTGAGCTTTTTTGTAGAAGACTGCCTATTTTTCCGTGTTTGTCTAGTGCTGTATAAAGTGCTATAAAAGTACTGGGTTTTGGCCCTTAGCTAACAGTGTAGTAAAGATAGTAGCAATAATCTTAATGGTTTAAAGAGGCATCTTGTCTGAATTTATTGTCATGGTATAATATTTGTTAAAAGGTCACTTTTTTGCATTGAACACAACCTTGTGAGTTGAGAGCTGTTTAGTAGCTGAAGGACTGTCATGTTTTACATGGATTTCACATTTTTGTGCAGAACTAAAAAAGTGAACAGTTGTACTTGGCAATGTACTTAACTCTTTGGAGGTTGTGTGCCATCACCATTTCTCAAACACCTTTGACTGCTGAAAGTCTTGCTCCAGTTTCACATTTTCACCATAGCCAGGAGTTACCACTAGCCCAACTCTGCCAAAAAGGTGTATCCAGGTTAACAAATGCACATCACTCTGCTTCAGGCAAGTTCTGCCGGGTTAGTTCAAACAGCTGACAAAGGCAGGCTTGTACTAACCAACGTGGTTTGTCTCAGGCAGATTAGGAAAAGAGCAGCACAATTCCAATTTATGGAGCTGAGGGAAAGGTCCTGATTTCTGCGAATATCCATTCTAGATGCTTGGCATCTTTAGTCTGCAGAGCCAGGTCTGGAAGAGGATGTTTACCATCAGCCTCCAAAATAATGACTGTTTCGTCAGGCTACAGTCATGCGGTCACTGTAGAAATGTCTTTGTGGCACTTGAAGACGTCCATTCCCACCCATAAACTGGAAATTACTCTCTTCCTGGTACAGCTCAAATGTCAGAATAAATCATCTGGGCATGTGTTTCAGCGCAAAGGCAGCAGGTTAGTATTCTGGTAAGAGTGATGTCAGTTCACCTACCTGACTTTCCTCTGGAATTTAAACACTGGTTCTTTTATGCAAGTCTTTTACATTAAACAGTAGGGCTGACTCTCCAGCTGCTGCAGAGCGATGACAAACACCATGATGTCAGTCACATCTTAAACTGACACTGCTGCTTCTCCAGTAAATATCTGATCCAAGACTGAAGATTAGTCACGCTGCTTCTCAAGGCTTTCTACTGCAGTGTAAAGTATCTGGAAAGTATGCAAAGTACAGCTGGTTTGGAGATTTCTCCTGTGCAGAAGCTGCTTTTAAAACAAGTCATATATTTCAGAAGGAGGAAATTCCCATGTGGGAAACCTAGAATTCTTACCTGAATGTGAAAAGGCCACAAATGTACAGGCATTTTAAATATGCCTGGTGACAAATTCTCTGTCACTTAGCAAACAGGAAACGTCAAAATAGCTGAGGTGTGAAAGTCAGTAACAGCCACAAATAAAATAATCTCTGGTGAGTGTAACTGTGAAAACTCTGACATGTGTTTCTCCCTCAACTTTCAAGCAACTTCCTCCAGTCCCAAAGAAATGGAATTGGTGTTAAGAAATTAGATCTCATAAGAATAAAATCTGTCAACTGTTGTGGAGCACATATTCTCTACCAGCATCTTGTGTGCCACAGCAACAGAGTGGGTGAATGCTACCAAATAGCTACAGTACCCACCTGCATCTGCATACGGTGCCAAGAACTGCTGATGCAATTACTGCTGAAGCGAGTGCCTCAGCAATTCCAGAGCTTCTGTCTGGGAAGAAAGTGGCAGTTAGCTAGTCCTGACAAAATTCACCTTGTTAGGACTCTGACTTGGTATTTAGTAGGTTACAGAGCTTCATTTGACAGGTTGAATAGTGAAGGATGTGTCGCATCTGTAGGTAAATAGTTTTAGGGAATAATTACCTTTGATATTGCATCGTTTCTAACCTTGCTTCACTTTCCAACTGTTTTGTTAAGTTGTCTTTTCCTACTTGATTTAAATGGCAGTACTTTCAGAAATCACTTTCCCACATGGGTGCTTTATACACCAAGATCAGGTCACCCCTAACCTTTTGATAGGTGTTTGTGTAGTATGATGGTGCAGTTCAACCTTTCAGTTTTCACTTGGATTTGTGCACAGTATTTTCTGCCATGGTTTTTAACAGAAACTTTTTTATTTTCCTGAAAAGTTGCCTTGAGTGTTTTGCAGCATGGCTCTTTCTGGCCATGACAATCTCAGAGCAGATTGTCATGATGCGGTAGGACAAATTTCTGAACCTGAACCATGTGTCTCACTGTACCACTGCAGCTTTCACTGCTGGCTGCAACTGCTGCAGCATGAATTTCTTTTGTAATGTGAGTGTGGCACAGAAGATTTGCTCCCACCAAATCTCTCTCCACTTGACAGTGAGGCAATGGTCTCACAGCTAGAAAATGGGTCTGTAACATAAGAGTGTCTTTTCTCAATGTGGTAGCATCTCCTGTTCTAGCAGTGGCAATGTAGAGCAGACACAGACATTTATCCTGTTACATTGTACTGCTGTAGTCCTTGTTTGACAGAGACCAAGGTGTGTATGAAAGAAGCTGATGGTGCAGTAGTTACAGCCGTAAGAGAAGCTGCAGCGCTGGTGAATTATAGGCCATCTTTTTGCTGGTGTATTTTGCAGTCATACTGTGCAAGATGACTGTCAAAGGCATGCATTACAGAATTGAATTTTTACTTGAACTGAGACTTGAATTAGTCTGTTAAGCACTTCATTATTATTCCATGTATTATTCCAACAATCTTGAAGTGGGTCAGGTACTGAAAGGGAAGCCACTGCTGGTTGGACAGCATTAATTTTGGTTATTATGTGCATTGTCTGGTTAGACCTGTTTTTAAAATGTGCCACTACATGATGGGCTTATTACAGCAACCTCATCATCTCTGCTGCCAGTCCTGTAAACAGTCCACTCCGTGTCTGCCGGTGCTAAGGGCAGGTCTTGTGCAACAAGGGGTGGTGGAGTCTGCTGTTGGGTTGGCTGATGAGATGTAAAGGAATACACAGAGCTCTAAGGAAGAGCATGGGCTAACAGACAAAACCCCTTCCTGATGGGCATAGCTGAATTCAGGTCAGTAATGAGAAAAGAGGGTTGAGATAGTACCACCATCTCTTTTTCTTCCTGCTTGCAAGAGTATTTGAAAGTACATTAGCCTGTGTTAATTTGGAAACTGTTAAGCTGTTTAGACTGTCATCTTTTAGCATTTACTCTATTTGTGGTGGTATTTAAATGCATCAGAATTTAAATTTAAACACAGCCCAGCCAATGTTCTAAGCAACAAGTTTCCATGAGGGAACAAGCAAATAACTTTATGCTGCCAGTTTTGTTTCTTGTCTCTCCACAGCCTTTCACTGTACCCCCATGCCTCTCAGCCAACTCCACTGCCTCCAGCACGTAAAAAAAAACAAAACAGTAAAACCTAACTGTGCTCCTTTTCAAAGAAAATAAAATATTATTTACATTATTTTTGTTGAAAGAAAGAAGCAAAGAAAAAAAATATTACATATTCTCCAATATTACATATCCAGTTTTATTATGTTGAATTATATTTTTCCTTAAAGTCCTCTGAAGCAGTGATGGAGGAAGATAAAAACAAGCTTTTTCTTTATCGAGGATATGCAGAAAAGAGGTCTCAAAGTGGATAGAAATGATGTGAAACAGTATGCTTTGTAATAATTCTGTTTCTTTGAAGAGAAATGCAATATGCCCTGGTAAATCATGTTTCTGAATATTTACCATCTTTTTACAGGAACCTATTGTCCTGGTACCTGTAATCTTATCAACCTTGTACACAGATCAGTCAGTAACTGGTGTGATTTGCAGGGAAAGGATTAAGGCACTAAAACCATACATTTATCTGGTTGTAATGAGCTTTGTTGTTCTTTCAGTGATTTGGAATAAGATTCTTTTGGTAGAATCCTTAATACCATCTATTAAAAAACACCCTGCGGTTCAGTCATTGGATACTTGTTTTGCTGGTGCGTATCTCTGTCTTGTTACAAAATATATACTTTTTTCCCCTCAGGTTATAGAAATTGTAGAAAATTAATTTGTTACTGTATTTCCCAAAATAGTACCCTGGGAAAGTGAGAGAACTGTCTTACACATTGATTACTGTGTCATCATTCATGCAAATCTGAACGACCATCACATGCAAAGTGATGCAGGCACTTACAGAAAGAAAAAATAAAGGGGGGGGTGGAACAGGGAAGGATGGGTAGGGGAAAGAGGAGAATAAGCTCTCTTCCTGATTCTGGGCTTTAAAAGGAAAGAAGTCACAGTTTCTCCTACCACAGTATACTGTTTCTGGGGTTTTTTTTCTGCAGTAGGTCCTTAAAGAGAGGTCAAGCCCTGAAATGCTCACACCTGTGTTTGCAGTCAGACACCCCAGTGCTCTGTTGATCAGGATGCGGTCGTTCTGTTTCCTGCCGTGATAGAAGTGCTTGTGTATTTCAGTGGTCACACACCACTGATGGTTGCAGCAGTGAGGGAGTATGTAAGGGGGACCTGAGAATATGTATGTATAATTCCATGGAGGTGATGGATACTTTAAAAAAAAATAAAAATAAATCTAAGTTCCTGGCTTTGGTGGAGGATAATTAAGCCAATAAGAGTATGATTTCTTTATTTCAAATGGTGACTTTTGACATGGTAAGGCTTGATTTTTCTTTTTCCTGTAACTTAAAGAAGAGCCATGTTCTGCTTTTAAAGGCCTGATTATAAAAATGTAAATTTAGATTGATTCTAATGTAATGCACTCTACACATTCTTCTAAAATTTCCATCACCCTTCACATGATTAAGGTGCTAACTCAGATTATAAAACCAGTGTTTAAATAATTATAATTTGTTGCTGCTTTCAAGATACATGTGTCCATGAAAAACGTCAGTCTGCATGGTGACATGGCACTCCGGTGAAAATATTCTGTATGGATTAGCAGGTACCAGAGCAACTTCCACTGTTACTCATCAGTATGTAAAATCAGAGGACTGATAGGAGCTCAGAAAGAAACCCAAACCAGTAAATGACTGCTGTAAATAATGCTGAGCTCTTTTCTGCACAGCTTAAATTATCTGGGGGGCTTTCATACCTCTGCATGTTGTGATTGGTGTAAAAGGCGTTTAAGGCTGCTGTAACACACAGATATGAACTTCCCAGCAGTGGTGACCATTTTACACAAGAACCGTTACTTTGCTGCCAGGCTAACACAAGATACATAAGATATGTATGTGAGATAGCAGAGGTGACCCAGTTAGACAATTGGGTGGCTAGCTCTTCCTATGCTAATCTATCCTCCTCCACCCGCCTGTCTTCCTTCTGGCTTTGACCTGCCTAGAACTACTATTACATGCACTTAATGAACCTCTAAATGAGTTCCTTGTGTAAGCTCAAAGCAAATTTTTAGTGAAACTTCATTTTGTACATTATGCATGGAAAGAGAAAATTTGCACTAGAAAAACAGTTATTGTCTCCACCTTGGACAGTCACAGAACAGAACTCAGAAACAGAATCATAAGCTATAGATATGCTAGTATGTTGTAGGTATAAGATCACGGTGTAAAATAAAACTATTTGACATGAGAATTGAGATCACTTGGTGGGAGAGTAATTTTGGTTTCTGTTGAGCGTACTGTGACATACTGAACAGTGTCTAAGCATGAGTCAGCACTTTTCCAACTTTCAGATAAAAATGTGCATTAGTAGCAACCTAGATGAAGAGAAGTCAAGACGCTAGTGGTCCTGGGCTGCCATAAGCTTAAGGCCAGTAAGGGGAAGCACAGAAGCAATAGTTATAGGGAAGTTAATCTAGGGCAATCTGCAGTAATGGATGCAGTAAAAGTTGTTCTTTTTCTTCTGTCTTGAAAGAAGAAATGCCAGTTCCTCAAAAACTGTGGGGAAAGTTTTGGGTTTTGAAAATGGCACTAGATTTGTTGAAAAGTACTCTTGTAACATTTTCAAATAGAAAACTCTGTGTTTCAGTACAAATTTACTTCTCACTTTTGTTTTTCAAACTGTTTTCACACGAGTCAAATCTAAACCTTTTCAAATGACTCAATCTTAACTGTCATGGAATGCGAAAAAACCCATATTAACATAAAAGGTTGTTCTCATTTGCCAAAGGAAGTAGTTAGGAGGGGAAAGAAGACTGAAATGATATTGAAGCAATGTGGAAGCTGTGTTCTTCATATTAACAAATGGCAATCTTTCCCTTGTCATTTTTGTTTCATCTGCATTTTGACTACACTGTAATTTTGTAAAGGACTGGTTCGTATTGCATAGTCATGGTGCAATCATTGTTTATTGTGTTGCTGTTATATAACATCTTTTCTAGGCGTATATACTTAATTCTGATCAGGAGATTAAAAACCACGCCGTATATGAAAATGTATAGGGAAGTGGTTGTAATAAACTCAGAGAGACAAAAACGGTGAAATTACTCTTCACAGAAGGTACACTAGCTCAGAGAAGTTACATCGCTTCAGTGCCCTGAGGGCACTTGCTGTGTAGAGGCACCTGTAGGAAAACAGTAATGATAGAGGTAAGTGGAGCCGGATGCAAAACGTACATTGCAAGACGCCCTGGTATTCAGAGTCCAGTTCGAGAGTCACCTAAAAGAAATTCTTTTCCTGGCTATGCCACGTACTTCCTCTGGGGGATCTTGAGCAAGGCGTGTTTTGACCCAGATTTCAGTTTCATCCACTAACTTTTCAGTGAGTCCCCTGGTGACCGGCACCTAGATTTTCCTGGCTGACCAGCCTACCTTTCAGAGGTACCACGCTGCTCCTAACTTACAGAATCTGACATTTCCAAGACACGCTTCCCTTTTACAGCCACCGTCCTTCCCTGAATGACCTATATTTAACTCCGGGCTCATGTAAGAGCTGCCTCAGGTGGCACCCTCATCTCTCAGGCATGCATTGCGACAAAAGCACAAAACATAAATAAATAAACCCGCCTTGCATCATGCCATCCTGCGAGCCTCCGCGGAGGGATACGCCTACCGGTGACATGATTCAGAGGGGCACAACTGACATCCGGGAGACTTCAAAGGGCAAGAAATAGGAAGAGAACAAACCGCCTCTCTTATTTTAGCTGTGCATAGCAAGATTCATGCCAGATAGCCAAAGCACGGGGTAGGTGCTGTCTGTATGGGGCCGCAGCCCGTTTTCCACAGGCCCCGCTCACGCCACGCATACTGCCTCGAGGCCCGCTCACGCTCCCGTGTGGGTGCCGACACCTGCACTTTAGCCCTAACGAAGCACGCACCACAAGCACAAGAAACAGGACATTGACGGAGCTGGAACTGCCACCCAAAAAAAAAAACCCACCGCACCCCGCATCAGGCGCCGTATGGGGACCCCTCGGCCCAGAGCAGACCAGCCCCGCCCGCCCCGCTTGGCCCCGCCCCACCACGTCCCTCTCCGCCAATCAGAGCCGCCCACTCCTCCCGCGCACCTCCCCTTGCCGTCCGCGATGGTGACAGCTAGGAGCCGCCTGGCCCCGCCCACCGGAGTAGGGCAGCCGGCCGTCTCGCGAGAGCTGCGAAGCCTCGCGAGAGCTGCGGGGCGCCTGCCTCCCCTCCCACCCCCCCCACCTCCCGCAGGCGGCGCTCCGCCCCGTGGCCCTCCCGCCGCCGCCGCCCCCGCGGCCGGATCTGTGTCTCGCTGGCTGCTGGCTGGGCGGTGGGAAGGAAGGCAGAGGAAGGGGGGGCGCTTGGCCCTGCGCACTGAGCGATGTTTGTCCGCCATCGCGGCGGAGGAGGAGGGTGAAGGAAGCGCCGCCGCCGGAGCGAGGGGCCTGCGCCGCCGTCTCGCCCCTCGCCGCCGCCTCCCCCGCCGCTCCCCCAGCCTCGGCTGGGCCCGGCCCTCCCGGTCTCCGCGCAGCACCGGGGGCCGCAGCCCGGAGTGAAGGTCGCCAGCGGCCTCCCCCTCCCGGCGCCCGGCTCCCGGCCCCGCTCCCGGGGTCTGCCGCCCCGCCGCGCGTCTCCCGGCGCCCCTCCGAACGGGAGGCGCCGCAGCCGCCGGCCCCGAAGATGTCGAACCTGAGCAAGGGGACGGGCAGCCGGAAGGACACCAAGATGCGGATCCGAGCCTTCCCTGTGAGTACCGGGCCTAGGCCGGACTGAGCAGCCGCGCCAGGCCCCGGCCTCCTCCTCCTACCAGGCCTCGCCGCCCTGTCAGCCGCGCCGTGTGCCCGGGGCCGCGGGACGGACGGGCTGGGCCGGCCATGAGCAGAGGCGGCCTGGGATGGGGCCGCGGGTGCGAGCGGTGCCGGGTGAGCTGTCAGCCGGCCGGCGGCCTCCGGCACTCCTATGCGAGCTGCGGGGGGCTCGGGGGGACGTGCGGGAGCAGTGTTGTCTGCCGCGCGGCGAGTGGGAGGTGGAGGAACTGGTCCCCGTGATTATCGTCTCCCTCATCAGTCAAACAAATCAATTACGAAAATCCACGTACGGCTTGGGGGGGGGGGAATATCGCTTCTTTGTTTTCAGGGGAAAAAGTCTTAAAGAAGTCCGAGATATACGCCTACATCAACAAAATTAGTTAGCCCCGGAAGGGGGTGTGTGTGTGTGTATTTATTTACGTTTTCTGGAGAGTTTCCTCTTGATGAATTTAACGCACTCCCTGCTTTGTAAAAGAGGCTCTAAGTCGTATGATTATGAGATTCAGGTGGCAGAATGCCAGCTATTCAGAAGATGTTACTGTAAACATCTAGGTGTAGGTAACTTTCATGCATGTTCGGTAGAGCCATGAGCATGCCATCCCTTTGAGTTACAGAGGGGAATGAGCCAGATGATTAATTTAAACTGCCATAAAGCTTGCTGTGTTTTGACAGTTGGTTCAATTAAAGCTTACAACAGCATTAACGACTACAGTGCTATTAATGGTATTGAGAAACGAGAGAAATAGAAAAGTTTCAGTCTGCCAGAGGATGGCCAGGAAGTACGTATGTATGTGTTTGTCGCTGTATACGTTAAAAAGAAGATGCTTCGTTGAGTCACTGGCTTTTAAGGTTTAGCGTTAACTTTTTGATGCTACATCTGATCGCAGTAGGCAGTAGTGTAGAACTAATGTGGTTTGCCTTTATAGAGAAACTGGACATACCTGTTTATCTTCTCCAAGGAACATATCAATGTGTTCATTTCATCAAAACTTTTGCTGATGAAATTAGGAAATTATATTTTCAGCAGCTAGCTTAATCGTAGCAACCTGATTTATTCATCTCTTACACTGTCCTCTACTTTTAATCATCGACAGTTCTATTTAATGGTAAAAGTTAAAAAAAATGGCGTATGAAATTACGAATTTCAGCTGATGAAAAGTTTTTGATCTCCAAATGATATTTACTTATATAAACACCCTTTTCAAAGAAGTGTTGGATTATAGGAATAAAGAAAAAGACTTACTGCAACATGGATAAGGGTAGCACACACCTGTAAAAAATAAACCATGACAAAACCAATATGTATATCTTATTAGAAATTATACTAAAAATATGGATATATTTTAACTTGATAAACTGATTCGTTTATTCCAACCATATGTCAGTATGGGTCGGCCAACAAAGGCAGACTTAGCAATGGGATGAACTTTAGTTTGTGTTTTACTTTTTTCACCAGTATTGTAAATGCGCATCTGCAGCTGGTGTGGAGAATTGCTCTTGCATAAGGTTAAGTGTGATAATCAAAGTTTTTTCCTTCTGAAACTGTTTTTGCTAGCATTGTCTGGCTTTTCAGTTGCTTCAGGAATGTCTAGAAGTTTTTTTAAAAGACATCCTCTTCCTAAAGTAATTCAGTAAGTCAGTAGGCATCAATACCTACAGATCTTAACTGTTGACATCTGTTGACAGCACTTTTACAGGTGTCCCCTTCAATGGATTTTTTTTTTTAAGACATTTCATTGATGAGTCTGTTGATGCAGTGTTTACAGAAAAGAAGCATGTACTTGGTTGAGAGATTTGGAGGGTTTCCCTTTCATAATTGCAGAAGGGAATAGCTGCAGTTTGTGCAAAATTTTTAATATGGATTTTGTGGAGGCTTAAGGGGATGTATAGCTTTGGTCCTGCGAATAGTGCCACTGACTGCAGTGGGATTATTCCTGTCAATGAGGTTGCATATGTGTGGGGGATAGAGCCTATATTTAGAAAGTGTACTATTTGTACTTCAGCTACTGATCTTCACTCTTTTATTTCAAATGTGGTGGTTCTGCACTTCAGTTCTCAATTAAAATATGCTTCCAGAGGTGACTTCGTGGGCTGCTTCGATTTGTTGTCTTATTGATCATCTTTCTTCAGCAGGTCTGTCTGTTGTAAATTAGTTTGCTTCTTGCATGGAGGTAGCTATTTACTATTGCATTAAATTAGAAGTAGCCAAATTGGACAGGAGGCAACTACTCCCGTGTAGGTTCTTTAATATTTTTTTCATAATGTTTTTATATTTCTGGTATTGATGTATTCTACAGTAGCTAGAGGAAAGGCAAAATAGTCATTTACAATACATTACTGCACTAAACTTTTCCTTTTCTGCCTTACTAGAAACTAAGTAGAAATTGAGCAAAACCTTTGAGAACCACCAGTGTTGCACGTAGAGGTTATAATGTTCTGGAATTAGTTCTATTCTATATTCCTTCTTTATTATTTTTGTAATTGGTGGCAGCTTATCTGTCACCCCAAGTGTCCATTACTGTTTGCTAGCTCCTGGTATGTGCTCTGTGCTTTTTCTTACCTCAAGGGCAATGACTTTGAGTACATGGCTTACTGTTTTGAAGCAGGTTGTAGAGTAATCAAAAGTGCTTGAGGAAAATAGTTTTCTATACATTTAACCAAGTTTTCTGTTGACAGTAGAAAAAATGTATTTATTTTCCTTATTTAAAAACTAACTTAGTAAAAAGAAGTTTCTTGTATTCTCTTAGTGGTCTTGACTTAGACAGTGATAAACTTTGCATCAGAAGTAATCCAGTTGAGGATGCATTCTTTCTTGAGACTTCAGAGTTGAACATTTTCAAAAAAAATCTGGAAAGAATAATGAAATATTTTTAATGAAAATACTATATGTTCAGTAGAATGAACTGAGATTGTGTAGTTAAGTAACTGCATGTGCAGTTAATCAAGACTTTGATTGTGCTGCTTTCAATAACTGCTGATGGTACTTTTTAACAGTTTCATCATATATAGCTGTTCTATATTTGTATAAGGCCTATCCAGGTAGCGTTCAGAGCAGAGTTAAAGCGAGAGATGGAATAGAGTAAGAGTGCGTTTGAGTGAGTGTATTTTTTTTGTTTGTTTCTTAAGCAGTCTTTAAATAAACTTTCTTGTTTAAAATTCATACACATTGCAACAAATAGGATTTTGTTGAGGTTGAACACTAAAAGTAACAAAATAGAATGATTGGGTTGGAAGGGACCTTAAAGATCATGTAGTTCCATCTGTCTGCCATGGGCAGGAACACCTTCCTCTAGAAAACTGATTTCTTAAATGTCAAGTAATTGCCAGTGATGTAAGTTGGATATAGTTTGGAAATTTTTAGGTTTTGGGGTGTTTTGTTTTTTTTTAATGATTTGGAAGAGTGCAGTAATATTCTTGCTGAATGCACACTATGTGCATTATGCGAAATTGCAGGTTTGGTACTTCTACAAAGCATGAATTAAGTGCACCTATTTTGAGAAGTGTTGGGAGTTTTCTTATCTTCTGTGGTTTAGTATATAATATTCTCAGGGTCTCAGATTGGCTTTCTTTGTTTAACCGTCAGTGAGCCCATTACTGCTGGCTAAAAGAATACTTTAAAAGCTCTCAAACAAGCTTGCAACAAACCTAGTGTGTGGATGATTCAGTTGATATGTGAAAAGTAGTGCCAAAGAATGTTAAATTTGCATGTAAAACTTTTGGAAAGATGTGATGTCTGTGCCAGAGATATAGCATGTATAAATTATGTTTCCTATAAGTGTGTTTGAGCTGTGTTGCTGTGACTGTTTAGCTAGTGGAAAACAGTAGCTTTAAACGTGGTTTTGGTGGAAAAGTTCTACAAAATTAAATAATGCACTTCTTACAGAAGTAAACAAGGAGAATTTGGAAAGCATTTTGGTAATTTATTTTCAAAAATCATGGAAGTAATGTTAAGCTGTGTTGAGTGAATTTTTTTGCAAGAACATATCCTTTTCTCAGTGCAATGTGTCAGTTGTCACCATAAAATAGTTCGGACAGATCTGTCTGAAAACCAGCATGACCTGGTGTAGGTTACTGGGTTTGATCGTTATAGTCAGGGTTTTGTTGAGTGCTTTTAATCGTTTTCATTTCCTGCAGAGCTATATCTTCTCTAGAGCAATGCTACAAAGTAGTGTTTTGCCAGTTCTCAGAACTGTTCCAGTAGATCAGTATTGCATGGTTACATTATGAATTCT